ATTATCAGTCATTGATAAACTGTAGAGGGCTAGTAAAGAAAGATATGTTAAATTATCAGTCATTGATAAACTGTAGAGGGCTAGTAAAGAAAGATATGTTAAATTATCAGTCATTGATAAACTGTAGAGGGCTAGTAAAGAAAGATATGTTAAATTATCAGTCATTGATAAACTGTAGAGGGCTAATAAAGAAAGATTTGTTAAATTATCAGTCATTGATAAACTGTAGAGGGCTAATAAAGAAAGATATGTTAAATTATCAGTCATTGATAAAACTGTAGAGGGCTAATAAAGAAATATATGTTAAATTATCAGTCATTGATAAACTGTAGAGGGCTAATAAAGAAAGATATGTTAAATAATCAGTCATTGAGAAACTGTAGAGGGCTAATAAAGAAAGTTTGTTAAATAATCAGTCATTGAGAAACTGTAGAGGGCTAATAAAGAAAGATATGTTAAATTATCAGTCATTGATAAAACTGTAGAGGGCTAATAAAGAAAGATATGTTAAATTATCAGTCATTGATAAAACTGTAGAGGGCTAATAAAGAAATATATGTTAAATTATCAGTCACTGAGAAACTGTAGAGGGCTAATAAAGAAATATATGTTAAATTATCAGTCATTGATAAAACTGTAGAGGGCTAGTAAAGAAAGATTTCTTAGTAGTACATTTTGAAGAAGAAATAAAATGTGAGCTAGATAACTCTTACATCGTACCGGATGCTGATTACATCTAAATATGGCAACCTGGTTGTGACGTCATCCAGTCATGTATATATATTACGTGACCCAGTATTACACATTGTCAGGAAATCCTTATTAACGTCGGTAAGCTTTGAGTATTTAATGCCATTAACTACAACCCCCCCCCCCTATTTATATAAACTGTAAAAAAGAACGGCTTTCGGGCATTTAAATGTAAAACTGTCTCACTTAAACGTAAGGATACTGGCGTGATGACCTAAAGAGAACAGAGACAATAAATAAAACTGGCAGGAAAAGGGAGCAGGGAAGTTCTCCTTGCCCTGTTTAAGTTCAACATCAAAAAGTACACGGTCCAGTGCAACAATATTTAAGAGCAGCAAAACGAAATATCAAAGAAGAATACATTTATTTCTCATTCTATTTTTACAAATAACAGCTTTTAAAGTTAAAAAACCTGTATATGTTAGCTCTAGCGATCGAAACGTTGTGCTTCTTTAGAAACATTCTTCCTTATTGTATCTTGTAAAAAAAAAAAACTTATAATCAGTAAGTTAACTCAAACACGTAACTTGTAAAAAAACAAAACAACTTATAATCAGTAAGTTAACTCAAACACGTAACTTGTAAAAAACAAAACAACTTATAATCAGTAAGTTAACTCAAACACGTAACTTAGTTAACTTACTGATTATAAGTTGTTTTGTTTTTTACCAAACACGTAACTTGTAAAAAACAAAACTTATAATCAGTAAGTTAACTCAAACAAAACTATTCCAGAACATAGTTCATTAGTTAATTTCCATACGGGAGTATCCAGAGAAATTTCTCCAGTAGGGCAAGTACCCCCTGTCCCCCTCTGCGGACGTCCATGAATGAAAGTTCGTATCCTTATTAAGGGGTAGCTCATTAGTTAATTTCCATACGGGAATATAAAAGATATTTTGATACTGGTAGTAAACGAAATTTGGTGTTTTCCCTTTAATAACGGTTTGTGTTTCAATGGAACACTCCTTAAGAAGACTTTAAATCGAAACGTTGAGTGTCCAATTAAAGAAAAAAAACAAAGTTTGGTGTTAGAAAAGTCGTTTATTACTAATACTAGTATTGAGAATATATATAAGGGGATCTTATTAAAGGATGAGAACAAAAGTAAGTATTGGTAAATTCATTAGGATGAGGGCGTGGGCATCAAGAGAAATTTCTCCAGTAGGGCAAGTACCCCCTGTCCCCCTCTGCGGACGTCCATGGATGAGAGTTTGTATCCTTATTAAGGGGAGAGACAAGAGAGATTTGATGAATGAGGAAATTTCTTAAAATCGTTGTTAATATACAGTAAGAATAGTAAAACGTTGTATTACGAAAATATATATTGGTTGTTTTCCGTTTCATGAGATGGTTGTATTGTTTCCTTACTGATCACTTACAGTGAAAGTGTTGTTTACAGTTTCATGATATGGTTGTATTGTGTCCTTACTGATCACTTACAGTGAGTGTTGTTTACCGTTTCTTGAGATGGTTGTATTGTGTCCTTACTGATCACTTACACAGTGAAAGTTTTGTTTGCCGTTTCATGAGATGGTTGTATTGTGCCGTTATTGATCACTTACACAGTGAAAGTTTTGTTTACCGTTTCATGATATGGTTGTATTGTGCCGTTATTGATCACTTACACAGTGAAAGTTTTGTTTACCGTTTCATGAGATGGTTGTATTGTGTCCTTACTGATCACTTACACAGTGAAAGTTTTGTTTACCGTTTCATGAGATGGTTGTATTGTGCCGTCATTGAGGATCCACATCCTCATTGTAATGAATTTGCGAAGACTAACTTTTGTCTCCTCCCTTATCTTAATGAAAAGAGTCAGTTTTATCCACCCCTTAATCAGATTCCACATCCTCACGTATTTGCCAAGACTTACTTTGGTCTTATCACTTAATAAGAGCCCCTCATCTTATTGAAATCACAAATTCTTACGTTTGTCTCGCAAAGGATCCACACGACAGTTTCCGAGATCGTTGAACAAAAACAAACAAACTCAGAGATTTTCAAACTCAAAATTTATCCTCGAGCGTAATTCAAATACTAATAAGGATCCCTGCAAGTGTTAACGTGGATTCATGCTTATTCTAAACCTTAACTGTGTGATGCGAGGTTGTCATAGTTACGCCCGCGTACTTAAATGCGCATGTGGTTACAGAATAATACGTATTATCACGTTAAGCGCACACCCAGGTTGAACAACGTCTGGTTTTTACAAGTTTGACCTTTTGAAAATGAAACTTTTAAGTATTTCTTTAACATAATTCTACCAGGAGAAGGTAGTTTAACATTAAAGTCCGGTTTTCATTGAATCGTGCATACAAAACTAGCTTGGCGATACTTAAAAGAACAAGAATAAGGGGCCGTCTTTAGAAGTAACCAGTTTCTACCAACAGAATACTGTTATACGGCAGTATTAGATCCAAGTTATTACTTGTACGGCTTTTGTATGATACTGTACGATTTTGCTGATTTGTTGCTATCACAGAGTTGCTAGCTAATAGTTAATTATAAACTATAATTATAATTATAAACAATTATAAACCAAACTCTTTGTATTATTGTCGCTTTCTTTTCATGTAGCTAAATGGAAAAATTGCTCCGACCTATCAAAAACAACATTTCATGATGTATATGTGACGTAATTGTGATCAAATGTCTGGTCTGATTAATAGAAGTTATAACATCATTCTAATGAAACTTTTAGTTTGTAGGTTGTACGACAATGTTTAGTATAGTTAGTAGAGGTATTAGTATCATTAATAAAACTTCTAGTTTGTAGGATGTACGATAATGTTTAGTATAATTAGTAGAGGTATTAGTATCATTAATAAAACTTCTAGTTTGTAGGATGTACGATAATGTTTAATATAATTAGTAGAGGTATCAGTATCATTAATAAAACTTAGTTTGTAGGATGTACGATAATGTTTAATATAATTAGTAGAGGTATTAGTATCATTAATAAAACTTAGTTTGTAGGATGTACGATAATGTTTAGTATAATTAGTAGAGATATTAGTATCATTAATAAAACTTTTAGTTTGTAGGATGTACGATAATGTTTAGTATAATTAGTAGAGGTAT